ATATATATATGTATATAAAACTATGTAGTCCAGGCTGGTCTTGAACTTACTGTGTAGTCCAGGCTGGCCTTAAGCTCCTGTTGATCCTCTGGCTTCAGCCTTCTAAGTGTTGGGTTTACAGGCGTGGCACCACCACTCCCAAACCAAGAAATATTTGTATTTAAAATTTTGTATTTGTTAAAGCCAGATAGAGAGGATTAACTATGTCAATGAGCAATAAAATTTTGCGCTTTTTTTCCCCCTATGTTAGGGATCAAACCCAGGACCTTGAACATGCTAGGAAAGCACTCTACTACTGAGCAACACCCCTAGCCCAATGTATGTGGTTGGTTAGAAACAATTGTAGTGTTTTCTTTCTTTCTTTCTTTCTTTCTTTCTTTCTTTCTTTCTTTCTTTCTTTTTTTCTTTCTTTCTTTCTTTCTTTCTTTTTAAGACTGTCTTTCTACTATGGTGCACACTTGTACCACCTACTCAGGAAGTTGAGGCAGGAAAATCACCAGTTTGAGACCAGCCTGGGGAACTGAAGTGGGACCTTGTCTCAAAATAAAATTTTGAAAGCAACTGCAGGTGCAGCTCAGTGACAGACTGCTTACCTGGTAGATGCACAGCCCTGGATTAAATGCTAGATACCATTAAAACAAAAACAAAAGTCTATATCTAGGTAAGTTTAAGTTTTAAAATAAAATATTGAACATTTAAATTTTTATCTTTCACACTAATCTTGGTATATCCAATACTATACTTAAATGATAACAATATGCTATATTTTAAAGGTTATTTTCTACTTTTCAGGTAGTGAGCATCTTCATTTGCTGGGTTGATTTTTTTTTTTTATTCACTAAGTGATTATTCAAGTAAATCTCATATGACAAGTATAGATTCAATTTTTTTTCTAAGCCAACTTAGGCTAATTTCTGCCAAAATTTTAAAGATGAGGAAATTAAATTTAGAATTATATAAAAAATCCTTTAAATGGGAAAACACTGATTTGTTTAGCATGACTGTTTTGGATTCAATTGGGAAGCATCTGATTTGGAAAACCTGCTCTGCTCCAGGGCTCTGGAAATGGATCAACATGCTGGGCTGACCCTCAGGAGTAAATGTCAGCTGTGTTCCCCCTTCAGATTTTCAGATTATTCTTTCCTATTTTAACTTCTGTTCAGAAATAAACTTTAAAATTTTGTCTCTGTAGTTACATTAAACTGGCATTTATTATTTAGACACAAGTCTCTGATGGTAACATTTAAACTATTATTTATAGTTTTATAATTTTTGATGTATCAGGGTTTTTAAAGAGTTGGTTTTATGCAGTGTTTTGGATATCCTGCAGATTAATAAAATATTGGGATTTGGGATTGTTAATATACACCATGTTCTTTTAGATCTGTTCTAATCTAAATAATGAATTCATGGCTCAGACTGTTTTAAGTGTCAGGTCTAGAATATTAGTAGAATAGATTCAAGTTGTATAGGAATTATATAAAAATTCATGTCTGTGTATACTTGCTATAAATGAAGAATTGGATATAGGAATTATAAAAATAGTAGGTTTGGCTAGTGTGGCTTTCTTCATGACAGCCTGCCCTGTGACTTCCAGAGTGTACTTTTATCTGCCTTTTCCTCTTTTACTCAGCCCAAGCTCACTCTGGAAAGCTAAATTCTCACTCTTCTCTTTTACTTTTTCAAATAAACTTTGCCATTGCTTTTGCTCATTTCATTTAATTCCAGAAGAACCTGGAAAAAATAGTAGGTTTATAAAATAAATAGAAAAAAGTTTTGCAGTGAACTCATTGGCAAATTTGATTATATTTTATACTTTATATACATTTATATTTATCATATATAAATAATATTTAGCCATATAATGTTGCAGCAATTTGTAGGATTAAAACCTGAAGAAAAAAATTTTTTTTTTTTGGTACCGGGGATCGAACTCAGGTCCTTGCGCTTGCAAGACAGGCGACAGAACCACTGAGCTAAATCTCCGGCCCCAAAACCTGAAGGAAAAATTTTAATGTACAGGTAAAATTTGAAAATAATGCATGGCTTTAATTCTGTATTCTTTAGGTTACGGATTTCAAATCAGACAGTTAGCTTTATTCCTCATTATAACATGATAGGTTCAGAAAAACTTGGATGGGTCCAAAATGATCCTTCTTCGTGAATGCTGATACTTTCATTTAATAGTAGGCAGAGTTGATGTGATTTTAGTCTGCTGTGTAGCTTTCTTCATAACTATGAAAGTTTGTAAGACGTTAAATTTGTTAAAAGAAACACATATATGCTTAAAGAAGAGATTTAAAAAATCTCTTCTTTCATATTTTCTTTGAATTTGGGCCTATGGTTCTACAATATGGACAAATAAAATTCTATAAGAAAATACTTTTCTTCATTTCAGCCATATAAAGTTGCAGCAATTCATAGGATTAGACGTAAAAGAAAAATTTTTGTAGGTAAAATTTGAAAATAATGCATGGCTTTAATTCTATATTCTTT